TAGATATCGGGGAGACGGACCAGTGATAGCAAAACCTGAATCTCCACCGCTTGTAGCCGCTTACGATTACGCCCGAGAGGTAATTGAACCTGAAGCTTTGGACGATTTGTTAGCAGATCCAGATGAAATGCGCATGCAGGCACTGGTGATTAGAGAACGAATATTAGGACCGGCTCATCCAGACACTAGTTATTATATTAGATACCGCGGAGCTGTCTATGCGGACGCGGGTAAATTCCGTCGCTGCATCGAATTGTGGAATTATGCTCTCGATATGCAGCAAAGCATGCTGGAACCACTAAATCCTATGACACAAAGCTCTCTATTCAGTTTCACCGAACTCTTCAGCTTCATGGTGGGCGAGGAAGGTAGACAGACGACAAGAGGTCGTAGAGTACCGCCAGTAAAGAGGGAAGATCTGATGAGAGTTTTCGAGAAAGCTGTAAGTATGAAAGTATCATTGTCGTCTTTCAATATATCTTCCAATATATCTCTCAAACCATCAATATTTATTCGTTCACACTGCAAAAATTACTTTTAGATTAACGAAGTAGCGAAAGGAAAACAAATGCTGGACAAGATGGGCGATCTGACATGCGAGCGTGATTTTACATTCTTGAACAGAGTTCTTGTTATCACTTTGCACTTGGCGTGCCTATTAACGCGAGAGACCGGAGAAAAGGATAGCGAAGAATACAATGCCTTTCACAAAGAACTCTACAAGTTAATTCGAATAAATGCCAAAGGCAGACACGTGAGTGACACTTAAAATAATTATTAATAATAAAAGGGAGATTAAAAATAAATATCTACATTTTCAGTTTTGTAATGTGTTTTTCAGGGTCGTGACGCGCTGCATTTAGTTCATAGCGAGGATGGTGCGCTGGTTGGCAGGTATCCCACATGCAAGTTCCCATCTCCTCATTTGACTAAAGCTCTGCTAAGAGTGGGTGCAAATGTAGTTGCCAGGGACAATGACGGCAACACGGCTCTGCATCTTACCGCGCTATTGCAACCTTGGCGACCGAGTCTATCGATCGATCTGCTCGACGCCGGCGCGCATCTCGATGCGATAAACAACGACGGCAAGACGTTCCAGATGCTATTGCCAAATAAGGAGCTTTATGATTCGATTTGTCCTCTGAAATACACCACACTCGCCTGTCTGGCCGCGCGAGTGGTCAAAAAGACGCAGAACATCAGCAGAGTGCCCGCACATCTCCGCACTTTCGTTGAGATGCACTAGTTGCGATGAGACACCACCAGTGAAATGCCATGGCAAACATTTCTACTCGAGAAAATGTGATGATTATGGAAAGCATGGTGATAATTCGGGCGTTAACTTGAATTCATAATTCATTCATTCTAGCATATCGATATTCTCCTTGAATGTCTTCTAACAAGAGACATACACGGTGTGACATGGAGCATCATTATATACTTGTTGTTCGCCAATGTTAAACAAGAATGAGATAATCATTGTGTTGTACTAAGTCGCTTGTTGGAAAGCACCCCTTATCATGGGCTTATCGAAGAGGGAGGTTTGGGAATTCAAACTCCCCCCGAAATTTTTTATTAATTATTTGATTTTGAGAGAGTCCCATTAGCGCACATTCTACTCATTATAAGACCATATAAATAATTTTTAATACTTCTATTAATTGGAAAAAATATTGCTTTGATAAAAATGCGACACATAGAAAATTTTCGTAAGGTTTTTGTCACGAAAAACAGAATATATGCTATAATTAATTCTTATAAAGAAGGATAATACAGTTATTACATTCTTGTAATAACTATATTATCCTTCTTAAAAGAAAGTTTTTAAAAAAATAAGTAAAAGTTATATATTGTACAAAACGTAACATTTTTCCTCTTCAAAATGAAGTATGAGGAGAAAATTGTAAAATATCCAAATGAAATTCATTAATGTTAAAAAAATGTTAAATTACACCCAAATTAGTGCAGTGACATTCTTCTCAGTACAATAGCAAAATATTTTTTTTTAGTTGTTATTTCAATTAGTGCAAGTACATCCCTAGGTTGATTGAAATCTCCTTCTCTCCCTCCTCCGAAAAAATTTCACGATACGCCCATGCCCCTTATTGTACAGGATTTTGAAATCGTTCTGATTTCTAGTTGTTTTTTTTTTAAATGAGAACGATTTTGAGATATTTTGTAACTTATATTAGAACAGGGATAAAAAGATTGTCCCTGAGAAGCAAATCTTCTGATTAATGATATACGAACCACACGTGATCCCAAGAAGATTTTTTGACAGCTTCTCTCATAACATACATAAAACATGTTTCGCAATAAGATTTTCGCAAACAAAAAATACTTTTTTATTTCAGTTGACAACTTTCTTTTTATGCTTCGTAATTAATTTACTGAAAGAAAACTCCAAATACATACATCTTTTAAAGCGAAAATTATAGATTTCGCTATTAAAAATTTTATATTCAATAAAGTGGAATAATATACACTTTACTTATGTATATACATATATATATTTTTTAATACGATTACGGTAATTCATAAAATATCTATTTTCATAAAAAGAATTTTAAAAAGATTAAAAAATTTAATGAGAAACCTTCCTCCATTTCAATTAATAATTTTTTATATAATTATTTAATTAACCTTTATTTAATTAATTATTTTGAAAATTGATTGGAGATATTAACGCGTTTTTATCGAAATAAAATTGATTTATCAGCATTTTTATTTAAATCCTTGCTTGCCATTATTTTTGTTAGATTGAGATTAATTAGCAACATATTTTAATAGATCTCTTTAATATCAATGTGTGATGATACGAAAGAGAGCCTTTTTAATTTTGATGAATGAGTTAGATGAATATTGGTGATAATGCAGACATTGTGATCTTATTATTGCGAACTTGGCCTCTCCCTTATACATAAACCCCGCGCAAGCTATATTTTATATATATATAGGGTGCGTTACCAAAATCCGGACAAATTTAAATTTAAATTTTCCGCTATATTGTGCCTCCGCCAAAGATTGTTGTTGGCGTCCGAGAAAGCCTGCTGCTTCTAATAAACAATCATATTCTCAAAATGGCCGTGATATTGAAACCAAGTGCGGAGTATAATCGTATCGAAGAGCCATGATCAGCGAAGGTCTTCGCGCTCAATAATAATACGAAATAATTTGGTTCTTTGGAGATACGCGAAATCAACTGTTTATGATGTTGTGGCTGTTCTTGGACTGTTCTAAAGCCTTATATACGGCTTTAGAATAGTCCAATGAAGGTTTTAGTATGCCAGTGAGAAAGCGTCACTCGAAAAAACGCACCGCGAACCGAGACCGCAGTCATTGAAAAGGCTCAAGCGCTGATTTCAGATGACCCAGGGCAATCATTGCGCATTCTGATGGATGTAGTGAAGTAGATGGAAACTATGGCGTCCGGAAGGCCATATGTTTTTCAGCAGGACGCATGAGTCATTTGATTCAAAATTGGCTCTCAGACAATGTCGATATGTTTTAGTTCAAGAAATTCTGGCCTCCCAATAGCCTAGATTTAAATCCCTTGAACTACTACGTATGGAGCATAGTTGAAAGGGTCACAAACAAGTCTCGGCATCCCAATGTGACTCATTAAAAATCGCTGTTGAGATAGCATTCGTCAGCATGGACAGCGCTACATTACAGCATGCGTGCGAACACTTCAGACCGAAAATAGAGGTCGTCATTCAAGCTAATGGGGGATATATCGAATAATTGTGCTCTGCGGGGATTCCCCAAGTGCCATGTAAAAGGATTTTTTGTAATATTTAATTTTTTATTAAAACATTTTGTTTAAAGAAATTGTCCGGATTTTGATGACGCCTCCTGTATATATATATATATATACATACATAATACGTTGATAATATTAGATAACATAAATGTACGTTAAATTCAAGTGTGTTATCTTAGAAAAGTGACTTTTTACCTTGCTGTATAAACAAATAAAGAGAGAAACATAGATATTTGTAATAAAAGTTTTCTGACACTGTGAACAATGAATAATGTAATGATTCTACATTTAGCATACTACAATTTTGTTTTTCAACATTTTTCACGTGTATAAAATTATGTTCTCTTACATATATGAATAAAGCGTGAAATGTAAAATTGTAGTATGTTACGTTTGTCTCTTATTTCAACACACTTCGAATATAAACAAGTTACTTCAGAATTTGCTAATCATTGATATTCCAATGAGCAACAATGATCGAATGATTTTATATATTATTCGCATAAGTTATAAAATTGTGAGCATTCATATTTATTTGAAATGTGATAATCCATTTATAGAGAAAAGACGCGTCTCTACATAATTATATATAAATATATACAACATATAAACGGACGTGTGATGTTTAAGGTGCCTTTTTCTTTTGAGAGCTATTGAACAATGCACTCCTTGTGCTAAATGTGAACACGATTGTCGCAGTACTGTTTGTACCATTAAGACTAATTTATACGTACGAATTTCTCGTATTTACCGTTATTATGCAATTTTATACATTTTACATGTTTCGTTTGAGCCGATAATCCCGTTTCTGGCACATTTACGCGCGTCCGAACTATTAACTGCATCATTATAATATTACAGGACGTCGCGTTACGCGATTTTCCACAAAAATAGTAATCTTTACACTTACCCCTCGCGTATCGAAAGTTATTTTATAATGTATAGGTAAATGAAGAAATACAGCTGTAATTGAAAGTATGATTTGACAATTCATTCTTTTTTATTTCGCACGACTCACAGATACAAACTGTGTTCCGTTACTCACGAGTACTGAAAATCTATAGTTTACGTTACGTATATACTATAGCTTTCCAGTACTCACAATGAATCGTGGAACGCAGCCACAAACGTCGCACGTAATAATTTCCCTGGAAAAAAAAACAAATGCGTGAAGTGATTGTCAGCTATTAAAACTTACCTGTTATTGTCATATTTTGGAACAGATGTTTTCTCGATCGTGATCTGAAAATAATCAATAATATCCATTGTATCTATGCCCCAGTGTAATAAAAATATTCCTTATATGATAATTCATACATATATTATATATATATATATAATTTTATTTCTGTCTCGCGAGAAGAGAAAAACGCTTTTAGTTTTCATGTAACAAGAGATATTGGTTGGAATGGTTGCGCTGTACGAATAAATGTCGCATAAATGTCACAATGATAAAAGAATAAACGCTTCTTGGCTCCTAAAATCGACGGAACTGTTAATACGAAAAGATGAGCACCGATTCTCGAGGAATAATATAAATAATAGTCACGATAATTTTTATATCATGTATCAGAATCCTGATGTAGTCAATAACAAAAAAAAAAGGATAATGCTACGTCTTCTTCAACTTGTAGAAATTTAATCAAGCGTTGAACGAAAGGGAGGATCAATCGCTAAGAATGCGCTAACGTGCGCATAATTTTTTATTGTCGATCGCAAGTGAAACGTCGATGAACGCTCTTACCATTAAAATATATTAATAAAAGTCTAGAAAAAAACCGCAAAGTTCCGTTACGACAAATCGATGGAGGTCAAAGTTTGTACAAAGTGAATACTTGGAAATAAAATCATTGGCGCGCATTGAAGATTTCGCCGTCCTTCATTCACAGTTCTATATACAGAGTCGACTACACCATGTTAAAGACAAAAACCTCATGTTAACTATTCCTTTCTCGGTCACATTTCCATAAAAAATCCATCGATGCGAGCTCAATTTCATCGACAGTAAAAGTATTGTTAAAAATTATTGGAGATGAAGAATACACGTGATAGCACCACGCATGTTTAAATTCTCGCTATTAATGACAGAAAAAGTAATTATGCTAATCTCTCTCATTCTCTCATTCTCTCTTTCTCTCTCTCTCTCTCTCTCTCTCTCTCTCTCTCTCTCTCTCTCGGGGGGCCAGATATCGTCAATCGTCTCTCTTCCCGGAACCGTCTTCGGAAAATCAGGGAAGAAAATCATCTGAAAAAGTATCTCACCTGCGAGCTTGAAAGAGCACCTTCCTCCTCATTGCGCAGATACTGATGTCCCAATTGTACGGAAGATAATCTGAGGAGTGATCTATATTTTAAGACGTATCAATAAACGAATGGACTCGTATTCTGCTTAAATGCAACGTGTTTACAGGACAGTTATGATTAATCGTACCATTTAAACATTTAGTTGCATCGCATACTAAAACTCACTTGACAAGATCCATCCGAACCAACAAGAGTGATCGCTTAAAAAAAAAAAATAAAAATTTCACACAACAGCACAGAAATAAAACACAACGACCAGCATAGGTTTTTTATAGCCAAAATGAATTTGGATTTTATTCAATCATTGTTATGATTGGTGGTTATACAAGAGTGTTATACAATAGAATATTCCTCGAGATCTACATGGCGAGAGAAGAGTTATGTTTACCAAAAAATATTTCGGTGACACCAAACGCAATTCGTCCATTGTACCGGAATCAATCCAAGTCTTGTCCGCGTACATTTCTGTGGGGGAACAGAAAAGATTAAAAGACGCTATTCAATGTCACGAGAGGCTCGATTTACTTTTTGGTAAACATACTACGGTCCATAAAACGCAGAATTTATGCCGAATCTAAATCGTCCGATGTACGTTCGCCGAAATATTGAAGCGAGTTTGAA